CTGATTGCGAGAAGATCCAGTGGCGGTGAAGGCCAGATTCCACAAGCAAGAGAAATCCATATTTGATGTGAGAAGTCAAATTATGGTCGATACTGCTATTCATTATAAATACGTGCTGGTCTATTTTTTGTTTTGTTTTTAAATTAGACTTTTGAGTCTTTGACTCAAACTTGAATGCGGATAATTTTTTTTTTTTTTGAAAGAAAATGCGGATATTTTTTCGATTATGAACAAATTAATAATACGTTCCAATGATAACATGTTGTGTTATTTTTCTAATTTATCAAATAAGATATACGAGATATTTTTACGCATCTAGCATAATTCCTGAAAATGTTCAGTTCGACAGTATATTTGGCATACATCTAGATTAGGTGTGGTCAGCATTCAGCAATGATATTAATTGTACATGGTAATTTTTTAAATGCAAAAAATAGAATTTTGATGTAACCTTAAACGCATTTTTTAAAGAGATTATGAACAAACTGACATAGTAATAATTGTCAAAAAATTAGAGATGTTGAGTCATATTCATACAGGGTATTCATATACAGTTTTACTCAATTTATTTCCTAAACTGTTTAATTCTAAATTTTCATTTGGTGAATGTTAATTTTCTTAAACATAGTAATGCTGAAATATTAATATTAGCATTGTAACTCCAAATGTTTATGTTAGAGTTGATAAAAGCCTTTTTTAGTTCTTTTTTTGTGGGCTAACAAATTTTAACTTTTTCACATTGAGCTCTCTAATTGTATAAAGTCTCCAAGCCGACCCTCTCTGACAAAAAAAAAAAACCTTTTTATCAAATTTCACGTCCAAAATCAAAACCCTCTCTTCTTACAGAGATTTTTATCGGGGGGAGAGAGCGAAAAGCTGAGAGCTTGAAGATAAAAATCCAAACTTTCACGTCTCTCTGGTTCGATTGTTTGTGCCGAAATCAACGAGAAAGCTCGAAATTTTGTTTTCTGGGTTTAATTCTTCGTACATGCACCATGCTGGGTTACGTGAAAGAAGCGAATCCATAAAGATAACCAAAATCTTTCTCCGAGATTTGTGGGAATGGAGAGGAAGATCACTTTGAAGGCGAAGAAGCAGGATATGGAGCGATGCTTCACTTGTCTTATCTGTAACAAACTCTATGTTCGTGCCACCAGCATAAACGAGTGCCTCCACACGTGTGAGTGAGCCTTTCGGATTTTGCATTCTTGGTGTTTCCGTGTGATCTGAGTCGAATTATCGTCTGGATTTTGATTTGGGGTTTGTGTCTATTTCATTATGAGCTGTGATTTTGGTCGACGGGTGTCTCTCTTTGTTGTCTATGTTAGTCTTTCTCTTGAGAGTTGAGACTATGGTTATATAAATTTCTGTTTTTGCAGATGAGGAATGTTTTACAATGGATGATTCAATTTCTGTTTATAAGTCTTGGTGATTTCTAGTTATTTGCATCCAGTCATTGGTTTGCTTGAAAAAACTATGAAAGTTGAAAAGTTTTGACCTTTTTGATAAAAAATCAAACAAAACTCTGAATGTTTCTTATAGTCTTCTCTTTGTTATCATCATATTAAAGCTCAGCAAAACATTGCCATTCTTGTGCCTTTAAGATATGGATTAGGACTTGAAAATTTTGGGAACAGTTTGCAGGAAATGCATAGAGGACAAGTTGATAGAAGAAAATCTGAAAGCTTGTCCAATCTGCAATGCTGATCTTGGTGTTGCTCCTCTTGATAGACTCCGGTATATATTATACTCACCATTTCAAGTCTTTAGTTTCAAATGTGTCTTTTCTTCTTTTTAGAATTTTGCATCTATGTTTGTACCATTGTATGTATGTCTTATGTTTATGCATTTATACCAAAAACCGGAATATCAAATATGTATATGCAGGACGGATAATACTTGGGAGGATTTGAGGCTAAATGTCTTCAAACCAAAGCCAAATAGCGTAAAGGCAGAAACTGAAACTGTTGCAGCATCGTTGCAATACTCAAGAAAGAAGAAAAAATCGGTATCTTCACTCCTCGCCACTCCATCTAGAGAACCAGCCTCACCTGAGTCAGACCCTGATGCTCCATTGGAACCCGAGAAGATTGGCGAGGAAACAGAAGCTGTTCCTGTTCCTCTGATCCAGAGCTTGTCTAGGCCAGCTTCAAAGTTTAGGAAGCGTCCAAGGAAAAATCCAAGGCCTAAAAAGAGTGAAACCAGATTGGAACCCGAACAGCCTCATAAGGAAAGTGATAATGGTTTTCTCAACATTGAACAAGACAACGGATTGGTTAGTAACAACTTTGTAATATCATTTTTGTGTGTGTTTTAAATGGTTATTGTTCTTGATGCTGTTTACTGAGATGAGAATGATGCATCACAGGCTAGAGCATCGACATCTAAAGAATACAACTCGGAGAAAGTTAATAAAGAGATTCCAATTTTATCTGATGTTCTTAGTAAGCCCTTGAGTACTGCTATGGAAGTTACACCGATAAAGAGCAACGGTATCGGCAAAGCAAATCAAGACAATGTCTCTAGTTGTGGTGGCGATAAAGAGGAAGTCTCTGGTGTGAAATCAGAGGAATGTGCTGAAGAGAATCAAAACACTGTCCTTAATCACTCCGAGGGAAATAATACAGTAACTGGTATAGCAAATCAAAACTCTGTCCTTGTTAGCTCTGATTGCCATACAGAGGAAGTCTCTGGAGAGAAACCGGAAAACAATAATGGTGAAGATCAAAATCAAGAAAATGTCTCTACCTCAGGGAAAATCTCTGGTGAGAAAGGGAAAGCAAAAGCTTATTCTCCTCCGGTTTTGAGACCAAGAAGACAGAGGAAGATGAATTCAGATGGTACATCGAGAAACGCCATTCCTATGGAACTAGAAAACAGAGCTGGAGCTAGTAACAGTCCAGTTTGGTTTTCACTAGTCGCTGCCGGGAATCAGTAAACGCTTTTCACTATATATCTTCTTCTTCATTTCTTTTTAAGCTTGGACTCTGATTGCATATATTGAAGCTTTAACAGCTATATTTGTTCGTTTTCAGGAACACAGATAGACCACTTCCTCAAATCTCCCCTCTCTACTTGAGAGTAACGTAAGTGATGACTAGATCATATTGATTATGCTTTGATTTAGAATGTGTGATATAGATTATGCTTTGATTTGTGCGTCTTAACAGTAATGGGAACTTACCAGTCTCATATGTCAAGAAGTATCTAGTGAAGAAGCTCAATCTCGAAAGCGAAGACGAAGTAATTGATCTTCAGTTACTCTCACTCTCTCTTTGTCTCTTTGTCTCTTAAAAAGCTGAAGATTTTTGATGTCCATTTGCAGGTGGATATATGGCTAAGGCAAGAGCCAGTGTGTTCGACACAGAGGCTGCATAACTTGGTGGATTGGTGGATCCAAACTACTCCAATTTCTGAGCGGAGAAGCGCAATGGTTGGAAGCTCCGGTGCTGAATTCGTCATGGTTCTCTATTACAGTCGCTCTCACCTCTTTTGTTGATCTTTTGACACTCTTTCTTGCATAGGAAGAAATCTTGAATAAGACTAGCTTAGGGTTTGTAGCTTTTCTTTATTTAGTCATGTTTGAGAATAAATATGGGAGGGAACCCTTTGATGTAAAAAAATTATGAGAACCCTTTTATCTCTCTTGTTGCTCTGCTTGTGAGTAGGGGATTTTAAACGGTGCCGTTTGGGACATGAGGCTCATTTTAGCCAGACTCGTTTTTATGTTGTAAAGATGTGCTGGTTTTGTTTCTTGTTTGGTTTTAGTTTACACGTTATTCCTCTGAATGAGTTAGGTTTTTCAAAAGACTTGTATCCAAACAACTCTTTTTGCCCGCCATGGATAAACAAAGGGAAAATCACATTTTTAACCTTCAAAGTTATAAGAGTTAACACTTTAAACCTTGGTGGAATTACACTCACAGTTTAAACCTTCAAATTAATTATAGTTACGTATAAAATCTTCAAATTAGCTATCGAGTTTCCGCTGCCAAAAAAATGACATGAACTATTCAGTTTCCGATAAAAAAACTGATGACGTGTATATAAATCTATTTATTTTTAATTTAATTATTATTTTATGTATTTAATTTTATTAATAAAATACAAAATACACACAAAAATTCCACTACTGCTCTCTTCTCCGACTAAAAAAAATCTCCTCCACCATTTACATATCATCAAATCCAGGGAGAAGAAGTTCATTTTTTTTTTTTTTTTTTAGTGAGAAAAAGTTCATGAAAGCTTTCTTCCTAAAACAATGAATGAAAGTCAAAAGTCTCAAACTTTCAATTGCCGTTCATATACTGTCACCGATGTCAATAAATTCCCTTCACATTGGGGTTTGGGAGTTTTAGTCCACAGCCGATCGAGATGCAAATGTTTTGTTGAGGAGACCAAAACCTTCGCCGTCGCCTGACCACCGTGAAACAGTAGATTAGGAGAGAGAACGACGACCTTTCTTGATCCACATCGCTTCCGGATCCTGAACACACCAACTACCCTCCATCGAAGTTCCGACCACCACACCGTGTTGCCTTCTCAGATCCACCACGGACAGCACCGCTGAGGAAAGCAATCGAGAACCTCCTAGTTCAAATTATCATCCACTACAATGAAATTATGAAACTAACCTACTCATTTGTTGAATCATACTTGGCTTCTGAATCAAAAAAAAAACTAAAAAATCAACATCGGGGAAGAAGAGAAGAAGAACCAACGGCCAAGAATATTTTTTTTGTATTTATATTTTATTAATTAAAATAAATAGATAATTAAAATTATTGAAATTAAAATTATTTACAGATATGTCATCAGTTTTTATTGGAAAGTGAATAGTTCCGGTCACTTTTTTGGCGGCGCAAACTTAAAAGTTAATTTGAAGGTTTTATGTGTAACTATTATTAATTTGAAAGTCTAAATTGTGAGTGTAATTCCACCAAGGTTTAAAGTGTTAGTTCTTGTAACTTTAAAGGTTAAAAATACGATTTTCACGATAAACAAACTCAGAGCCAGATAGCTTCGGAGCGGCAAGGAATCTGCTAAATCTGAAAATTTTATTGGACTTTCCATTTCAATAATCGGCCGATTAATCGTCTAGGTGGGCGATTTTTTGAACACAGCCAATCAATCGAGTAAATTTGTTTATCTCATCAATGGCGATGAAACCCAGTCGCCATTTTTGCCCAACCATTATCACAAAGACGAAGCTAGTATACTCGTTTCAAAGCTCCTTCTGCTTCCACTTCTTAAGGTACAGTTCTAATGGTATAATTGCCTCTGGTTCGAGTAGTGATCAAACCCAATCGAAAAGATTTAGCTTTTTTCCTGTGAACAAACTAAAAAGTAGT